GCATGCAACTGACAGATATCATTGAATATGTGTATACTTCCAATAGAAATTGTCCGTATCATTGAACACGGAGCAGACTGACCAAGGTGCATTCTCGATATTCCCTCACAAAATCTACGTTGTCGAGTCTCTTGAAAGGTGCGGGCTTTGACTAATTTTTTAGGCGGCATTTTTATCTTAGACCATATTGTGGCAAGAAACAGTTTATGATCTGAGACTCTTAACTCAATTGTTTTGTTAGCTCCTTTGATGATCACTGGCTTACTGGTAATAACCAAGTCAATCAGGGTTTGTGTGTCACTTGTAACTCTTATTGGCTCGTTCCTATCGTTTATTACGCTGTAGCTAAATTTCTGCAACATGTCTTGTAATTTCCTACCGGCATATGATGAAACACCCTCGTAGTTACCAAAATGGTCCGAATTGAAATTCCCGACGAGAATCGCATTCCTATGCCTAAGCCACACTCTCTCAAGACAATCATGAAATCTGCTGTAGGACTTGAGATGAGAAGGAGGTCGACAACAATTACCGAAGATCAACGCAAACGAATTAAGCATAATTTTGATCCAAATTCATTCAATATGCGGACACTCCAGGGATTTGAGCCTTGAATAAAAAATATGGCTCGCAGTGTAAATCAAACAGCCACCTCCATCCTGTCCCGTATTTCTGTCCCTTCTGACTGTCTTATAGTTACGTATGATGCACGATCCTAAAATATATTAACTTCATATATTCATTGCACTCTTATAGTTATCCACATGTATTTACTTGACCGATATGCTCTCGTCTAAGAAGGTTTCAGTCATTGCTAAAATGTCAAAGCGGCACACTTTAAGTAGTAGTTTGACGTAATCAATCTTATTTCTCAAGCTTCGACCATTCAATTGTGCTATACTGCAATTATTCGAACCACGGTTGATTTCACCCGCAAAGTGCAGTAAATAATCTTCTCCTTCCGTAGATATAGGAGTCGGGCTTTTTCCGCAAGAACTTGCTTCAAGCCTTTCTTATACGAAAAATTGAGCATTTTGTCTTCTTTTCTTAATTAAATATCGGACAACTCGTTCACGAAGACTATCAGCATCATAATCTTCCCTGTCTTATGAAATGTTCCCTAAACAGCTCGCAAATTTTTTCTTAGAGCATCCGGTTTGTGCTGCTCATTACTTCCGTTTCACTCGGTTTTGGAAGCCCAGGACTTCTCATTTCGCCAGGTGTTTGTGCTTTGTTGGGTGTTTTCATTCCTAGCACTCTCCATCAAACTCCGCCAGTCTGTTTTCTTGCGCTTTCGCGACTTATCTGCATGTCAATCAAATAAACTTAAAATTTCGGTTGTCAATTTCAACTCTTTTTCCACTCAATTTTAAATCTCTGCTCTGTTTGGGTTAAATTGACTTGTTCTCAGCCAATAAGCTACTAAAATTATTACTAGCATATTATTAAATCAGGTATCACTGTTTGATCACCCTTTACTTTAAAAAAAGTTTCCTTTTCCGATCATAATGGCGATGAGTTCATCATAAACTGAAATATAGAAAGCATTTTTGATAAAAGAATGGGAATACGCTCGTTTTGGTTGTGCTATGATCAAGAGTGATTGAAAGCACTCGAGGATCAGGCCAAACTGAGTACATATACTGTAGTTTACTGATGTTTTATTTTATACATGTAGTCTAGATATGTATTTTTCTTTAACAAGTGAAGTTTCATTGTGAAACTAACTCAACGTATTGAGATGCGATCAACAACAAGGCAGGAGACCAGAAGAAGTCATCGTGACTCAGAGTATTTCCATAAGACCTTTCCTTTCTTCATTTGGTTACTTAGGGACGTTACTCAAGCCATTCCAAGAGACTGCAGCAACATTAAGGACTACTTTCTGAAAAAGGTACTTTGGTGCTTAATTCCTGAACGAAATATTAAATATAGTCAGCAGTTCGGAGGGCTAAAATAGTACACGAGTCTCTCCAATTTTTTCACAATGGCCACTGAATCATTTAACTCTCCCCAGTCACGGAATCGGTGGCAAAAATCCTTTCTTATGAAAGGTGGTTTCTTCTATAAAAGCTTTCATAAATCCTTGCTCTATATTGGAAAATGTTCTTACCTATAATTTTATAATTTTACCGGTATAATTTTATTTTTCCTCAAGAAATATGGCTGATCTATAATAAAAATGATAGTAATAATGATGATAATAACACCAATTCTACAGCGCGTATACATTGTTGCTGTAGTCTAGTGGCCCTCTAGTTAACGAGTCAGATCGGGAGGCTAAGTTCTAGCACTAGTTAGGCCATGTGAATTTTGTTTTGTCCAGGGCAAGAAACTTTACTCTCATAGTTTTTTTCTCAACTCGGGAATACAAATGGTAAAATGTCGGGAGAATTAGGCATCCTATCAGAAGGGTATATTGACATTGAAGCAATTTCCAAAACGTTAACTGGATAACCAGTTGGAAGAATTCAGGTTAGCTACATGTCATAAGGAAGTATATAAAGTTGTCTGAAAGCATTTTGAGCTTCTTTCCCGGTTTTGAAGCATTCACTCTACCTTCTCCCACGGTCGACCCCGAGGCGTTAAAAAGTATCAATGACAACAAAAGTCTTATTGATCCTTTGTTCATCAGTGGGTTGGAAGATTTCAAACGTTTGGTAGGGCGAATTCTGCTCCCCAAAAACAGCGTTAACGATGGAGAACTTGTCAATGGAGAAGGTAAGGAAAAGCGTACTTACTGTGCATCTTTTGTTACAATTTACAGATCCATCGTGACTTAGAGCTGAAACAGCTCCTCTCTTAAAGTAACAATGGCATATTCTCACCCTAAACTGAACAAAAGCTTGAATGGTGGCTTTTTTACAAATTTAATCAAAAGTGGACCACGGCTTTACTCTTTACTCACAAAACATGTAAGCGCAAGTACAAATTAAAAGTTCTTTTCAATCAGGCCTTGCGGCGCTGGTATAGCTCTACGTCCAATCCATCTACACCCCTGGTATGGTCCCGAATGTTCAGAACGCCTGGGATCAGTTTGTAGAGACGAAATGTGCTGACGCAATTAAAGATGCGCTTAATGCTTATGAAGCCACCATGGTATTACAACTAAAGGATAAGCTGCCGTGTGACAATGATCGACTGCGAAATGGTCTTGCAATGGAGTTGGAGAACAGCCAAGCCCATTTTGTGGGGGAGTACGAAGGATATATCCACCAACACGATTGAGAAGTTTTGGAAAAACTTGAAGGTTAGGTATTTATTCTGTTTGTGATGGAAATACCTCTGATAGTATTTCCCAATATTGTTTGTGCTATCTATAACCCGGACTAACATCTTTTACAATCAACATATGAAAAAAGGATGAGAAAGGAGTTTTTTTTATCATTTGTATTTAGTGTTATCTAAGGTGCAAAGCTTAGGAAAAAATTATGTCACGGAAAGTTAAAGGAAATCCTAAATCAAACTGTTCATTGAACTATTTCTTTTGTAGGTTAATGTTCTCAAAAAAGAAAGGAAAACTTTGAGTTTGAATTTACAAGACATATTGCGACATTCTCATGTCATCTTCAGTTGCAAATGAGCTTTTAACGGTTGTACAGTTCAATTTATATTAAGGTACGCTACAAATTACGTGTCAGGGCTTACATTGCAATTTGAATATTAAATACGCGAAAAATGTAAATAGCGCGCGCTTGACTAGATAAAAAAAAAATAATGATAATAATAAAACAAAAGACCAAGGAATAACATAATTAAAAGGAAAGATTCTAGATGCTTCAATTGCTGATTAAGAATGGTTTTTTCCCACTTAATTTGCAATGCCTCTTTGATCTTAATTTGGTATTTTGAAGCGGCAGAATCTAAGATCGTGAAACATTCTGTATCATAAGAGTCAAGACAGGCCCTTGATGAATGCAATTATATTCAAATTGCAACGTAAGCCCTGACACGTAATTTGTAACGTACCTGAATATAAATTTCAATGTACAACCGTTAAAAGCTCATTTGCAACTGAAGATGACATGAGCCAAAATGTCGAAAAATGCCTTGTAAATTCAAACTCAAAGCTGTCGTTACTTTTCTGAGACTTATTGTCACTCTGCTGTCTTTACGTCTTTTAGGACTGATAATGTTCTTATAAGGAGAGAAGAGCTAACATTCTTTCCAACTCATGCCCGCGTTAATTTACGCTTTTTCCCAATAAAACAGGTTCTAGACGTTCAAGAAAGTATCTCACGTAATTGTCTCACTTCCCAGTTTAATTTTCCGTTCTATACCGTTGTACTCGATTGAGGAATCATTGAATGAAAGGTTTCAATTATGGCAAGAGAAGAATGCAAAAATGACCAGAGAATTCTGCAACAACTTGCTCGGAATGCTCAAAAAGCAGCACCTGGACCCAGTACTACAGCAATTACAAAGGAAAGAAGGAGCCAAGCTTTCTTTTCATGAGATTATTTAAAAATATAACCTTATTAAGGATGACTACCACAAGTCTGCCATCGCTGCAAAAGACGAAATTGAAGCGGTGTTTTTTGAGTTTCACCCAGTAAGTAAAATTCAGGGCTTCACCGGTTTTCTTGTAAAAGTCAACATGCATTTACTGTTTGGTTCCTGGTTTTCATTGCACAGTTTGGTAGCACAGTTCACGGGTCGTGTTCCACGTGATTGCTTGGTAGGCGTCAATTGTACAGGCTCTGCAATGGAGTTTTCTGTATAGTTAAACTTCTGAAATCCATCTGTTTTATGTTAAGAGGTAAATATGTCTTTCGATTAGTATTTATTTGTATATTATCATTTCTTCATTCTATATCATATAAATTTATTACGCTGGTTAACAAGCAGATGAAGAGAACAAAAACATTGACGCGAGTTCTTTCTGATTTTGACTGATTATATCCGAAGAGAAAAATCTTACCTTTGATGTTAAGTTTCTTTTGATTTGTTTTTGAACATTTTTTTCTTAATTGTGAGCTTGTCCACTGTCTTTTTTTTAGGCACTGATGAAAGAGCAAGAGCAATACCTTAGTCAGTTGAAACTACTGAAAGACTACGATGAAAGCTTGACCGAAGAATTGGCTGCAAGAGCTTTTCAAGAGCAGGAAAAGCAAAAGCTCGAGGTAATACTCTTATCATGCTTTGATATTTCCAGATTTCCACATTACGCAGCTAATAATTATCACGAAATGCTTATTCGAGATAACACTAGAGTAAAAGTTTTTCAGCAACATAGTAACTGCATCTTCTTTCCTTCTCCCTGTGTTCAGAAGAACTAACAGATCAAGAAGCGGGAATTTTAAAAACTTTTTGACCAACTAGGGCAGGCGTATTTCTATTGATCTGGCGCATTCTTTTACCATTTATAAAGCAAGCATTTGCATGATTATTTGATAAAACAGAATATGAAAATAATTTAATTTTTTTTCACCATTTTCGAACACCGCAGGAACAGCAACAGCGTTTGCTCCAAGAGAATCGTGAGGTTAAGAGAGAGGTAAGAAAGACGTTAACATTTCTTTTTGCATGTTTATGTAGGCGTGTCAAAAGCAAGATATACCAAATGTACTTCAGTTCATCACATCAATCAAAACTTGATTGCTTGATCCTTCAGTTTATTTCCCAGTGTTTTTTCCCTTCTTTTCTCATGGAAGCAAGAAAGTGGCGTCAGAAAACAACGAGCTAGCTCGGAAAACTAACTTACAACCTTTCGTAAGCAAACTGCGACCGGTGCAATACGGGAAGATTTTGCAATTGTAAGCAAGGAACTTTGCAGCACCATACTTGTGTACCATGCGTGAGCTAATTAAAGCAGGGACGCTAGACTTCAAAATGGCTGCCCCGTGTTTTGCAATTTTACGTAGGAAGTGATGCACACGATCGAAAAAAAAGTTTCAATTCTGAGTTTGGCGTAATACTTTTCAAAGGAAAGATATGAGATTTTGCTAATTTAATTAAATATATCTGTTTAATTCCAGTGGAAACTGGCCGCTTATCTCAAAACGAGGAGGAAATATATAACAGAGTGGTTTTAACATCAAAAAGATTATTTACAACAGAATTCGAAAGAACCTAAGTAATTAAACTAAAACAAATATTCGCCTAAGGTTCAGTGAATATTGTTTAATAATATCGACTTCGTCCCGGAGATTATTTAAGAATATTCACCGTAGATGATTGAGC